TCCTGCTGATCTGGGATTGGCTGCCGACGCTCTACCTCTGCCTGGGCTGTTGAGTCCCAGCAGCGTTTTCACCACGTCTTTGAACAGAGGCTTACATGGCACACTGAAATAATCAAACAGGTTCAAGTGTTTGAGACATTTTACAGCTGGTCAGGCTCAGTGTGTCGTATCTGGTATAATGGACACTGCAGCCTGCTGAAGGCATTTTACAAACCTCTGTCTGCTTGTTGTGGAACCGAGTGCATTCCCAGCATGCATCCTGTCTGCTCCACCTGTGCTCGACTGATCACTGTAACTCTGTCCAGACAAAATCAACATAAATGTGGTAATAAAAACAGCTAAACTGATAAGAAGGTATTATTAACCTGGAAGAAAAGGAAAAGAATTTGGGGGGGGTAAGCTATACCACCTTATTAATGTCCACCAAACCAGTTATAATTGACTAACAGAGCCAACACAAGATATGCCACCTTAAATGACTACAAGATTACATTTCCACCTTAAGTGGATCAACAAACTATGCAATCATTAAAGAGCTCACAGATCAGGAATAACAATCCTATCATATCACTTATACCACCTTAAAAACAACAGCACACACAGACCACCTTTACAGAAGACAGTTTCACCAACTTAACACACCCAATTGAAAACATACCACCTTGACAGAACCTTGAAGAACAGGTTTGAGAGGCTTACAGAGACCACCTGAAATGTTAACAGAGCAAACAGGTCCCATGCATCACCTGTATTAAGGCTAACCAATTAGTACTACCACCTTAAGTCCTGGGGCAGACACCTGCAGCCGAGACAGTGGAGACTGCATGTGTAGACTGTTGGAGTCGGAACCTGCCGCTTGTGTCTTCTTGGGGATTCTGAACAGAGACGACATGCTGAGAACAGAAGAAAACACACTCAGACCAGACTTAAAACAAAAAGCACAAAAAAACAACTGTGGCAGTCTCATCTGGCTGCTGCTTGGAGATGGAGCAATATAAGGAGCTTGCCATACCACATTCCATCCAAAAACATGGGATTTTTATAAAGAAAAAAGTGGCATTGGATCTCATAAAATATGGTCAACTTCAATGTCTTCAGGGATACATAAAACTGGACCAATTTAATGAACATTTTGATCAATCCTAAAGTGTTGGTTGCCTTAATGGGCTGATGCTACCCATGCTACATTTGTTGAATTCATCTTAACAGAAGGAACTCAGCAGAGATTTAAAAAATGTGAAGTGAACCCCTATGGGCTGCTACAATAAATCTCCTTTAAAGAAATGAGGAATTTAAGAAAACAAAAATGATATAACATCATTGTCATCAGTGCTTTGATATTTCACAAAACTAGATGTGATAATGAAGCTAACAAGGGAGCATGACACTAACATAGTTATTCTTAAACAATATACCATGAGGAAAAAATGTCCTCAAAATAAGGCTGTGAGACTGCTTTATAATCAGACATTTTCTAAACCATGTTCTGAATGGCCAGTTTCCACTCAGAATGCAGTTTCAGTGCTTTGCTCAGAAGCACCTGGAGCTAAGTAACTGAACCTGTTACCTTTATATCTTTATTATAACAGTCAGTAATTGGTAAAAAATAAAAAAAATACTGCAAACCTCCTATCTGGATGCTGTTAAAAGATAATGCTAGGTAAAAAGTTCGTGACGCCTTTCCAAAACACGATTTTTTTAGGGATTCAGATTTGTTCTGTAATGACAGTTTTGACTTAAATACATGCGTACCATCTATAAAAGCAGGTTTTATTTCATTTTATTTTTTGTAGTGTAAATTATAGTTGGTCGATTTTTGGTTGGCCGAATTAACCAGAAGACTTTAGTAACTCGTATAAAAACTTCACTTGTGTTCTGCTGGATATGTACCTTTTGATTTAAGCAGTAAAATGTTAAATAGCAAAATTTATTAACGGGGACTCTACTGGAGGTGCAGTTTTGCCAGGAATTCCTCTCCACTCTAGTCTAAGGCAAAGCATACGCAGTCATATTATCAATCGGTTCAGAATTTATATAAAACCAGTTTATGACAGTGCTGCTAATAAAAAGCTAAGGCAGGGTTCAGCATTTAAGTTTACCAACCTAATTTGAGCCGTTGGAGCCAGCTAAGCTGCTAACTAGCCGATTAGCCTGTGAGCTATGTTAGCTGCTGGATGACTTCTTGCTGTTATTAAATGTTCGTAAACTCTCGCGCCGGCTCATGTAGCAGGTAGTACGTGTTGTCCCATATGTTAAAAAGACAAAAGGTAGTTTCAAACACGCAATTCCCAGTTGCCGGTTCAGGCAGAAGATACTTTCCTCCAAACGTTAAGCAGTTCAACACAAAATGACAACGTAACGTCATTAGGTTTAGATGTGTTCCTCTTCTTCGTCTGCTTTTATTTCTTCTTCTGTGTTTTTAACGACAGTTGGCATCCAAATTGTTGCATTACTACCACCTTTCGATGTGAATCATTATATAACTATATTTATATTCTCTTATCTAACTCCTTGTCTTTTCTTTTTAACTATTCCTTTAAAGCCCTATATTTTCTACATGTTATCAAAAATGTTATCAGTGCATATTAGTACTTTACCATGTTGGTTCTGGTCTGCCACCTGAACTGCCATTAATACAGCACACAGCTCAACTGTATATATATTTGGATAATTTACCAACAGCTGCTTTCGCCGTATACTTAGTGGCATCTCCCCTAACCTGTATTGTACATATTGGTGAAGTGTGCAAGGCTCCTGTACAAATTCTTAATGCTTTACTTTGAACCCAATCTAATTCACATAATACTGATTTAGCAGCAGGCCCATATGCAGTACATTCATATTCCATTCTGGACCTTATCAAGGATACATGAATATGTTTTAAAGACACATTCATTAACTTTCTTTTTTTGTTCCCTCCATGTCAAATATGCTGTCAAAATGTGCCCCAAAAATGAAAACATTTAAACTTTTTCCACATTAGTCTCATATAACAACAACTGAACATTTTCCCCTATCTTCTTCCCTGTAAAAAACATGGTCTTTGTTTTCTCAACAGAAAATCTGAAGCCAAATTCCCTTCACTATTCTTCTCCTTGGTTTAGTCCTAGCACTTTCTTAAATATATAGTTTACATTTTTACCCCTTTTCCATAAACTACCATCATCTGCAAACAATGACCTTCCTGTCCCTGGTTGGATATTTACAAAAATATCATTTGTCATAATCATGAATAAAAACAATACAGCAGCATTTGATGTGATACCTAATCAACTTTATTCTTTGTAACAAAACTAGTAGCTACACTAGTACTACTGGTAGTAATTGTAACAGTACAGGCAGCAGTAAAAGTACTACTAGGTTAATAGCAATAGCAGCAGTAGAGAACTAATTATAATAGTACAAGTTAATTTACAATAGTACTGCCAACAAATGGCACAGTAACAGGTTTGGCAGAAGTAGTAGTAGTAGTGACAACAGCAGCTGTAGTTACAGCAGTAGTTGTAGCAATAGTACTAATGTTGTACTGGTATCTCTAGTAGTAGTAGTACTACAGTTTATGTGAGGAGTGTTAGCAGAATAACAGCTGTTGCAGTTAAAGTACTACTAGAAATAATAATAGTGACTATAGCAGTATGACAGTAAATCAATTATACTTGTCCATGCAAAAACAATACTACAGTAGTACTAGTAGTATCAGTTGGAATAATAGTAATAATAGTAGCAGTAGCAGTAGCAGTAGTAGTGATACTAGTGGGCTACTAAGAGTCCCAGCAGTAGTTTAACATCTTTACTGTCAGCTAGGTTCTGTGTACAAACAAATAACGTCTGAATGATTGAAAATCAGAGATGAAGAGCTTCATCTTCATCATCAGCCTCATCAGTGTGACAGTGTACAGTGATCATGAGGCGCCATCTTGTGTCAGAAAGTCGTTACTGCAGACAAACTCCAATTTCAGTTTTATTTCAGGTCAAACAAACTTCAGTCTGCAGCTGCTCATACACACTTTCCTTCATCTTCATCTTCATCACAAATGTGTTGCTGCTCCACAAAAATGTCACACATAAACTCCTGAGGAAACATAAAGTTTTCTGCAGACACAAGCCAGTGTAGCACAGACGGACCAGTGCGATACTGGACTCAATTCTCACCTGACAGAGCAGTGAGACTTCATGGCCTCAGGCTGTTGAAGATTTGGTCCAATTTATAGAGAAAACCTGAGCTGAAATAATAAAATGTTTACGCTGATCCTGAACCTTCACCTATAAATTAAAAACTGGCAGTAAATAGTGGGAGCAATGAGCTTTGGCTGACATGTGAGTCTTACAGGAAATGTGTGCTGACTGCAGCAACTTCTGCCTTCACAGCTGCTACTGACTCCTGTGGCGGAGGCTCAGACAGTACCGATCCAGCAGGGAGGCTGGTGTCGAGTCGGTGCATGATGCAGTTTCAGCCACCAGCAAACAGGTGGGAGGCTCATTCGGCAGCACAACAACAATAACCAGTCAGCACAGTCAGTGAATGCAGAGTTTATTTCATTGCAGGTGACATTTCATTCATGATACAAGCAGCTGAGTGCATTAAAGAAAGAGGAGAGTCAGAGCAGCTGAGAGAGGCGGGGCAGGGGAGTCACTGTGTGTGTGTGTGTGTGTGTGTGTGGTTGTGCATTTCAGCACCACCGTTACACACACTCTGGATTTTTCATTTTGTTGGCAAAGCAAGAGTGTAGTGAATGTGCACGACGTGTGCGTTGTCTCAGGGCCACAAACTTAGGGCAGAGAGCAGAGTCAGGAGGGAGGTCACAGTCACTGCTGCTCGACCTGACGATGCTAAAACTCCATCTGCAACAAAAGAAGAAGCAGTGGTGGGACAGACTGGTTTTAATGGGGAAATGTGACTCTTCACCAGCACTGTTTACACTGGTATGCACACTTCAAGCAGGAGCGCATACATGACAAACATGAGCTCACCCACTGACTCTGAGTGTGACACTCTGCTTGAAGTTCAGCTGTGGGATGTGGCACTCGTAGACGGCGCTGTCTGACTGCTGGACCGGGCTCAAAGCTATGGAGAAGTCTGCACTCTTGAAGTTGGCAAGGGCGGTCTGCACTCGACCTCTGAACTTGGGGCTCTGGGTTGACTGGTCTGGGGCGTTGTCCGTGATCTCCAGGACAACATTGTTGTGCTGGTCCCTCCATGAGACAGACACGTCCTTAGAGAGAGGCTCCCTGCCATTGTGGAGACAGGGCAGCTGGACGGTGGCTCCAACAGAGCTATAGAGCTGGACCTGGCAGCTCACTGTGAGGAAACACAGAGGTTTACATGAAACACTGAGACAGTCACACTAGAGACCTTCATGGTGAGGTGGAAGTGATGAACAGCAGGACAGATGTGTTTGGCTGCAGGAACAAGAACTCATCAGTTTACATCTGAATAAGGTCTTCATCACGTTACACTGCTCTCACAACTTACACAAGCTTGTTCTGTGGTACATATCTGCTGTTCCCTGACATCTGCACGTATTTACTAGGTGCTCCACCCAGATCCTGCTCACTGAACACATCATCCTTTCATTATGTACTAGTCCTCCTCCAGTCCAGTAAACAATTACAGAACACCTTGACAGGGAGTGGTCCAGGACCAGCCCCTCCTTGTCGTCATGATTATCACAGTTTGTTCCCACACTAAAGTCCATTTAGTAGCTGTCTGGAGCTTTTGACTCTATCATGACCTTCCAATGCAGATGCAGCAGCTCAAATGTGTTCTCCAGGACAGACACTGAATGGACCTTGAGCTGAGATAGCGGAGTTGAAGTATTTGGTGATTTCTGACTGTAACTCAGCTCCTGTCCATTCACCTGTGTTCACACTGTAGAGCCAGAAGATCCAGAGTGGAACCAATTTAAATCTGTGGAGAAACAAGTTCATAAATCAGTTCAAACATGACACTACATTGATTTTCTGAGTGTTAAAAATCTGATTTAAATCTCTGACTTTAGTTCAGCTGGAGCCTGGACACCGACAGCTGCTCACCACTGTCGTCACATGACAGGCAGACAGTCATGTTTACACCAAAGTCCCAGAAATGTCCAGGGATTGGAGGCTTTATGAGAATAGTTTGCTTCTTCTGACATGAAATGAAACATGTCTGACAAAATAAAACCTTGGGAGTGGGAAGTCGTGATTGAAAATGTGTACACGAGCTGGTCAGAATATTAGGAACAGCTGTGAATATAGTGCAGTCCGCTAGAACACCTTCAGCAACTGAGAAGTGAGTTAATAAAATCTGACACCACAGGCTTCTTTACTGTACATTTCATTTGAAATGGAAACATGTTGCACCCCAGCCTGCACTCAGTTTCCCAAACTGACAAAGTGAAGACGACTCTGCAACTTTACCAACAATCAGAAACTGAAATGTGAAACCTGCACTTTCAACCACAATCAGTCTTTGCTGAACTTTAACCATTGGTGGTCGAAGGACTCGAACTCTTGACTTAACTAAGTACCAATACAATATTTTAAACCAGTTTCTGCATTCAAAAGCTTACTTAAGTAAAAATATGCAAGTATTGTTAGTAAAATGTACTGAAGGTATACTGTAGTATTTGATCGAGGAGCAGCTGGGTTTAGCTGCATTACACATAGTAACAGACCTGATATATCAGAGGGATCCTGAGACAGTTCATGCAAAATAAAGTTCACACATTAGCAGTTTATCTATTTACAACCTTATTGCTTTTCTTAATGTACAATTTTAATTGGAAAAGCAGCTGAAGTTATCAAACATGAGGAAGTATAAAGTACAATAAATGCCTGTGAAATGTAGAGAGGTAGCCAAGCGAGGAAATACTCAGGTACAAGTAGCTCAGTAGTACTTGGTTAGATGTACTTTCTCCTGCTAATACCCCAGAGCAGACTGACCTTGTCAAAGTGCTCGTGCTGATTCAGGCTTGTCTCCCAGATGAAACATGAACTGGAAGCAATGGTGCGACTGGACGTGCTGATTCCTCTCCTGTGGGCAAGACTGTGTCAGTGGCTCACAAAGTGCAAGTTTACTGGGCTGCTTTCATGGTACGTCAGGACCAGGGACACTCCAAATAGGGTTCAAATTACAGTGTCTCGGGGGTGGGGGGTCTTTCTCACACACATGGGAGGAGGACAAGACGTTTACTTGCACTGATGCTCCAGGTGTAGAGGCTATCTGTCCAGCTGGCCCAGGAACACGGACGGAGTGTGACACATGGGCCCCTGGGGGCCCCCCTCCCCCCCAGGCTGACAGAGACTTGAGACGGACAACAGAACAGACTGTGTCATGTGTTGGTTTTGTCACCTCCAGCTGGAAAGTGGCACGCAGGTGAGGAGACGCCTGAAACTAAAGTTCTTTAAAGTGTCCACACATTCTTGGTTTCAGCT